TATAAATAAAAAATATTATATAATATATTAAAGTATACGTGAAAAGTATATATATATATATATAATTATAACTTAATAGATAAATATATATATATGTATATTAAATAATAATAATTAAATATAATTAAATTGATTTGATGTTTTATGACGGCACAATTTCCAATAATTCAACACCCTCTATTAAAGGGGTGCCATTAGCACTCCCCATGTAAAAAATATGTTTTAAATATTTAAATGAATTAATGTGAATAATGTATGCATTTCAAAACAAATTTTTATTACTATATTTAGCTTTTTTAGTTAAATATGTTTTTTTTATTTGTATAGATAACTGGATTTAAACGACAATAGTGATTCAATAAAATAAAGTAATAACATCATTATGTGTGACCTCGGATGCAAATCAAGTCATCTGCAGATCCTTGCATTGACCATGTTGCGGGATCAAATGTGATTTCTCAAAATCACATTTCGTTTAACCATTCTTGTGTTCTATTATTTTGATTTATTCTTTTTGAATTCTTATGTATATAGATAGACAAATATATATATATATATATATATATATATAGAGAGAGAGAGAGAGAGAGATTTGAGATAATATGAAACACGTGAGACAACATTTTTATACTTGAAACTTCATGGTAAAACATTATGAAAGTTTGGATTTTTTTTACTTTCACAACATTTTGTTGTGAAGTTTCGAATGAAAAAACGTAGTCTCACATGTCTCACAAAAATAAACTAGTCTCATGTGAACCTAACCCTATATATATATAGGGTTGGGTTCACGTGAGACTAGCCTGTTTTCGTGAGACCCGTGAGACCACGTTTTTACACGTAAACTTCACAGCAAAAACACTGTGAAGGTTTTAAAAAGTCGAACCTTCACAGCAAAAACACTGTGAAGGTTTTAAAAAGTCGAACCTTCACAGCAAAAACACTGTGAATGTTTTAAAAAGTCACCTTCACAGCATTTTTGCTGTGAATTTCAAGTGTAAAATGCTGGTCTCACGGGTCTCACGAAAACAGGCTGGTCTCACATGATCCCAAGTCTATATATATATATATACACACACACACACACACACATAGACTTGAGATCATGTGAGACCAAGGGTTTTTCGTGAGACCCGTAAGACCAATTTTCAACCATTGGATTATATCTACAATCTAAACATTCATAATCACAAAATTATCACGAGACTTCTCAATGATCACAAAATTGTCATTCAACTTTAGACCATTAGATCATTAGCTTATAAAGTTGATCAATGAAAATAAATTGGTCTTACGAGTCTCACGAAAAACCATCAGTCTCTATAATCAGACTATATATTCTAAGTAATATTTAAAGAACTTAATTGTTACATATAGGTAATAAAAAGAATTAGTCATGTCAAATGTCATCTTACCTTGTTTTCCATCACAAAAATAATCGTGCTACTGCTAAATCCTAACGATAAAATGTCAAGCCTACACATATCTTACCTCTACACATCACGTTTAAATATAATATGCCGATATCATGTAATTCAATAGTTTGCTTCGTTGAAAAGGTTATTATTCGTACTTCCTCATCACTCACATGCCACCTATTTCTTATCTCTATCTCACTCACATACGAAAACAGTAACAAAATAAAAGAATACGAAAAAGATCAAATCACATGTGATTTTACACTAACAGTCAACATAGTGTGCAAGCAATGTGGCCTATGACCAAAGTCGCATGGATCACAATGATTCTACACGTGATTTTCATAAAAAATCACATATGATTCGACTGTTTTCTTATTCTCTTATTTGATTATTATTCCCGTACAAATCTGGGTAGATCTTTTATATAAATATACAAAAATATATAAAGATTAAAAAACTTATTATAACATTTTAGTTACATTATAAGTTCAGCCAACTACTATACCACTACTTTCTACGAGGCCGGATTCATGTGAAACCAATCTGTTTTTGTAAGACTAGTAAAACCACAAAATAACACTGAAACTTTATAGAAAAAAAAACATTAAAATATCGTATTTTCACAACAAAAACACTATAAAGATTTACCTTTACAATGTTTTATTGTGAAGTTTCAGTGTTTTTATATGGTCTCACTAGTAGAAAAAAACAGTTTGATCTCATATCATCTCAAGTGATTTCTAATATGGTCGGTTGTTTGGCAGTTAACGGTTGCTATCCTCACCTTGCCAGCTCCACACAATCTCTTGTAGCCCAGGCCTTATGTACTCTTCGCATAATTTCTTGTACTCTAACGTATCCCCCGCCGCCTTCGATAACTCCACCACCGCCACCTCCGGCGCCACCTCAAACACCTCCGCCGTCACCGATAACTTCCCTTTTCTTCCCTCCGATACCCCCTGCATCTTCAATTTATACTCGTTTTGATTCGAAAACGAAATCTTCAAATTCAACTTCTTAGCTACGGATTCCAGTTTGTTCATGATGATCGGGGCTCCAAATTTTGATGTAAATAAGGATCCGGATTTCCGACTAGTTTCGAACATGCCGGATAAATCGAAGCCGGTGGACATGGAGGAGATGAACTCGAATGCGTTGTAGAACGGCGGCGATGATTTCGATCTTTTAACGGAAAACTTTTCTGATTCTGGTTTGTTTTCGTCTCTATGATCGAGTTCGTTAATGGCGATTGGAGTTTCGAGCCCTTTTGAGAACCATGGATTCTGTTTGATCGCCGGAATTGTGAATCTTTGCGACGGGTTCACCATTAATAGCTTTGAAATCAACCGTCGTGCATCGGCGGAGAACCACGGCGGAAACTCGTATTCCGCTTTGAAGATCTTTTTGTACATGTGCATGACGTTATCTTCTCGGAACGGAAGACAGCCGGCGAGTAGAACGTATAAAATTACGCCACAAGACCAGATATCGGCTGTGGCGCCATCGTAGCCTTTTTTCCGGAGGACTTCCGGCGCAACGTATGCGGGAGTACCTGTTAGAGACCGACTCGAGATGGTCAATCTTCAAGAAAAGCCGAAGCTCTAGTTCGGAACAAATTTTTGATTATCATTACTAAAAAGGAAACCAAATATAACTCGAGTTAGTAGGTGTATTAAGGCCACTGTTTTATGAGCTTAACGAGACTCATGGTTTATTCAATTAGCTATACATGAGTGTTTGTTAGTGGTTTAATGATAAGCGGCTTATTTAGTAAGCTTATAGGAAGAGTTTTATGTAGAAGCCCAAGTTTTTTTTTTCCAAATTTACCCCTCTCAATTTAAAAACATACTTCTTTCGTTCGATGAAAAACCCATCCAAACAAAAATATTACCGATCTATATAGACAAATTAATCGATACAAACAATTTTATCCATACAAGACTTAATAAAACTAATTAAGAAACCAATTATCATACTTCAGGAAGAAACTTAATCAAACATTCTTTTTTTTTTAACCAAAGGGTGGTGTCTTGTTTGGTTTGAGCTTGCCTCCAAAGGTCAAAATGTACTAAAAGTTTCCAGGTTCAAATCAAGAAGGAATAAAAAACCCTAGTGGTCACGAAGGTTTAAATGTGGTGACTCCGGACTATATGCAAAACATGTGTAGTCATGCGGATATCCAGGTTAATAAAAAAAACATTGTTTTATCTAAAGCAATAAATGAGATTCAGGTTAGTATCGGTACCACACTGAGTATGAAGCATTCCGTCGTTCCTCAGCTGCTCCGGCAATGCCGACAATCCAAAATCGGAGACTTTGAGGTCTTCGTTTTCGTCCAAGAGGAGATTCTCCGGCTTCAGATCACGGTGGGAGACGCCGCGGCTATGGCAGTAATCGATGGCGCTGATCAGCTGCTGAAAATATTTTCTCGCTAAATCTTCTTTCAATCTTCCTTTCGCGACTTTAGCAAACAACTCGCCGCCTCTGACGTACTCCATTACCAGAAAAATCTTGGTTTTCGTCGCCATAACTTCCGTCAACTGAACGACGTTACGGTGGCGGACCAGCCGCATGACGGATATCTCTCTCGTGATCTGCTCCATTAAACCTTCTTTCCTCACCTGCTCCGTTTTGATAACTTTCACGGCGACACCCTCCGACGTGACTAAGTCCCTCGCGTAATAAACTTTTGCAAACATTCCTTGGCCTAACAACCGACCCATCTCGTATTTCCCGAAGATTACTCGCCGGTCTCCGGCGCCGGCGCCGGCGCCGGAATCCTCCAACGGATCGTCCATTTTTTGTTTCTGAAAAATGGGTTTCTTGAGAGGGTAACTGGGGTTTGTTATGATGGTGGTTGGTTTATGGTGAGTTAAGGATGGTGGAGGAGCAAATAAATGGAGATCGGCGGTGGTGGGTCCGCCGTGGGAAGTGGGGTTTTGTCAGGTGGTGATTGGAGGATGTGGTTTTGTCGGGAACATCACTGTCGGAAAGTTTGCTTTTTTTCATTGCATTAACGATAACTCGCCAATGGAGGTCGGTCACGTATGAGGGTAGGAAAGGATTGCACTCCAAATTAGACGAGAGGTGATTTCGTTGAGCGATATATAACTGTGTAATAGTAATTTAACTATCCAGAAATTGTAACGATGAGTAACGTATTTTAAACTTATTTTTATTTTGGATAAGATTTTTTTGAAAATTTTATTTTATTATCTATGATGTAAAATTTTAAACATTTAAGTATCTAGATAATCAGTTGAAGCATTAACCGGTTATCATGCTGACGTGACGAGTGATGTGATATCTAACTCAATATTATTTGCTGATATGAATATCTTAATCTGAAATTTGTTTTTTTTGTATTGTGGTTTATTAAAAGAAATAGTTAATGTTTCAATAAGTTACTCGGATACTTAAATATTTAGATCTTTACATCTTATTTACCAAAATATAAGTTTTAATAGTATGTTACCTAAAATATGAATCAAGTTAAGGTACATTACTTTTTCATGCAATTTATCCTTTAATGATATATAAAGTGAATTATGTAGTAAGTTTTTAAGGGGGGGTTCTATTTAAAAAACCAAAGTTTCTTAAACCTGTTTTTTTATCTATGAAAAACATATCTCAAACAACAAATTTTCAGGGGGTTTGTGGTTGCAGTAATTAATTAAAGTAAAAAGAAAAGAAACTGTTTGTTTTTATCTATACTATATTGTAGAACATTTGAAAAAACTCTTAAAAACTATTTTTTATGCATGAAACATTGTACATTGATGCATATTATTTAAAGTTCAAGATTACAAATAATTATGCATAAATACAACTTATTAAAGCTCAATATTTGAATTTTATAACTAACTTCGGATAAATATAATCAAATAGAGGATAAACATCTCATTTTAAAATATAAAAAATCTAAAATATAATTAGGATAATTATCGAGTTCTAACAAAATAATTAACTATTATCTTTATAAAAAAATTATATTATTAAACTAAATATAAATTACTTCGTTATTGAACTGAATTAAATTATAATAAAAAAATTGAATTAAAAAATTACACACAAAATAGAAATTTTAAATAGTTAATTTGATACTAATATCGATATATTTTTGTCAAATTTTTATGATATCTTCAAGTTTATATTTTATTCAAAAATAAAAACATTATCGTTTTCTCAAAATAACATAAGACCATACTATAACATCGACTGAGATAATGAATAAAATGAAATATCAAGATGTATCTCGCTGTATTGCGCGAGTACCCTTCTAGTATAATATAATGAGTTCATTTCCCCCCAAAAGCCCAAAAAAGATTCCAAATTAAACTGGGGTCTTAGGGAATGAAAATTTATTCTCATTTTCATTCCATGTTATTTTCATCTTTATTCCAATTTTTATTTTTTTACCTGAACCAAACACATATTAAATCTATAAAGACAGATTAATCTATATAGATCATTCTATTCATATAAAATTGAATGAAAAACCAACCAAACAACCCCAATATAAGATATAACATGACAAGACAATATAATATAAAAACTTGTTAAAATGGGAACATAACAAAATATGAGTGCAACAAAAATGTGCTTTTTCCATTAAAATATGCAGAACAAGATTGGTAAATTGTTAAATTATTCATATCAAATTAAAATCATAAAACATTTCAAAATTCTTTCACTCACATGCCTCGTTCTCGTGCTTTGTCTGTTCAAATTCTTCAACGTATTTACTTTTAGGGGTGTGTAAAATCAGAAATATCCGAAATCCGAACCCAAACCCGAACCGAAGATAAGGTATTTATGTATAACCCCAAATCACCCGAAATCCGAAAATCCGAAAGTTGACTTTTTCGTGAATTTTTGGGTTCAGTTTGGGTTTGATTTTGCCCACCGGATCTGTTCGAAACCCATAAATATATATATACATATGTATTTTAAATACTATATAAATATACTTATTTATCTAATTATCTTTTGAAAATCCTAAAAATCTTAGTTGGTCGTGTGTTTTTTTTCTAATTTCTAAGCATACTATCGATTTATTAATCTTTTAAATCGACTGACTTTATTGCCAAAATCGATTGGATGTATATATTTTTTGCAACATAACTAAACCCAAACCCGAAGCAATCCGAAATCCAAAAATCGGGGCTTGATTTCCATATATGAAATCCGATTAGGTTTTTGATTTTTCCACCCGAACCTGCCCGATGCACACCCCTGTTTACTTTACCAGTACTTGGAGCATTTTTAACAGTTATGTTAAAATAGGTATTTTACAAATTATGGAGATATTTTCCCTCAAACATCAATGTTTAAGTTGAAATATAAAAAAATGAGCATAAAGGTGGTAGAAATCTCAAAATTTGGAAAATAACTCTACTTACTGTATCACAAATTAAGTGTTCACTTTTTTTTCTGTATATTTATTCCAAAATAATTGTCTATTTTTAAGTAGACAGCTAAATTCTCAAATAATTAATGCATAACTATTTAAAGGTTGGAGAGGGAGAGAGACGGGTACATTACAAGAGAGTAAAAAAGTCATTTGGTTAATAAAAAATGTAATAATTTATGCAATTTCAATTGTGGACACTTATTTTGTGACGAAATGAGTAAAATTAGTGTTTTTGTGATAGAAATCTTCAGTTCATTTCCACTAATAGTAAATATTAAAATTAACCACAAGAGTGGTGCTTGATTGGTTTGAGTTTACCTCCAAATGTTAAAAGTACCAGAAGGTCACATGTTCAAATCAAATGAGGAATAAAAATCTCTATGTAGCCACGGAGGTTCAAATGCGGTGACTCCGGGCTATCTGCAAAGCAGGTGGTCGTCTTGGGATTAGGCGGCTCGCATAATGAATTGGATATCTAGGTTAATAAAAAAAAAATATTAGAATTAAATGTTTATGATAAATAAATAATAGTAATTAAAATTTGTTAAATATTTTAATAACATAATTAATATTGAAATCTTTAAAATTAAGCATTTTTTTATTTTTAATTTTCTAATTTAGAAAATTTGTATAATATCTTTTCATTTCCATTTATTGTGTAAGATTATTGGTATTTGTCTCACTCTTACAAAATAGAATTTTTAGTTCTTACTATATTCATCCAAAAGGTAATGTAACTTGGTAAACGCTTACCCATGTAAGCATTTGGTAAACGGTCCCTAACTATATCAAGAGAAACTCATGTTATTATTGTAGCTTTCAAAATATACAGTTGCACTCATCAAAATAATACAATGACATGTTTTATGACACTATATTTATTATTTTAATATAATAATTTTTACAATTATTTATTATTATAAACATTTCACCATTATTTTAATATAATAATTTTTACAATCATACTGATTACAATATTTATTTATAGGAATGAACACAAATGTTTGGCATATACTAAACCAACCCAATCATTTTTCATAATTACTAACATAAAATACCCATTTTGTCCCCTAACCAATAAAATGTGTTATAGGGTTGGCAATGAATAGGTATGAGTATGGTAATGATTATTTCGTTACCTTATTAATTTAAAATATTGCGTAATGGAACTGATAATTATTTATATATATACCATTCCCGTTAGGATAGTGGGTAAAACCGTAAAAGTAGGCATGACAACTGGGTGGGGATGGGCGAGTTTTCTAATCTCCGACTCCGGTTTCTATAAATGGGCCCCGGTCCCTGGCGGGTATGAGGATTAATATACCAGATAGAAGGCAGGGCGGGGCAGGGGATATGCTACCCGGCCCCGGTCTGAGTCTATTGAGGATCCCAGCTCCATGACCCGTTTTAGCAGAGAATTCCCGTTCGGGTAGGGTGAGACAGGTTCCTCACTGGATCGAGGCAAATCACTATTCCTATGTAAAAGAATATGTAATGGATAAATGATGAAACAAACCATTTTAAAATATAAATAGTATTGGTTAGGAACTCGGGAATGACACACAATGAGTCACGTGTCCATCTTAGAATGAAAATCCATGATGAATATGGAAGTGTTGATCATTATAAATCACACATTCATGGTGAATATTAACTTGTTATTGTTAATCATGAATCACACATTCATGATGAATAAGACGTTCATGTTTTTTATGAATATGCCACTTGTATTTCACATGTTTACAACAAAAAGCTACCCACATATATCTTAATAGGTAATTGGTAACGAGCAGTGGTATATACATACCATACCTACTAAAATATCGAGTAAACAAGTAACAGATAAGTGGATAAATGAATAGATTTGTATTTACACATACTCTCATCTAATAGGTCGAAACATAACAGGTAACGAGTTTACCAACTGTCAGCCTTGTATATGATAGGGATTTTATAATCGTGTATTAACACACCACTGGTAATTCGTTAACCACAAAAATTGGTGATAAGTTTACTGTTTCTTAAAAAACCATCGGTTCATCATTCATGACACCAATCGTCCTATGTAATCCCAGTTTCTATCTTTTATATCATAGACACATATGTTTTATGCCTCTATTTTCTCCGTGTTTTTCACTAAATATATCTGCAAAACATAAAACTGATTGACTAAATAAAGTGAATATGAATTAAATATCGAAAAACCAGTTCATTTTTTTTAATTCCTACATCCTTTTCCCCATAAACATCGTTTTGGTTTATGGGTTTTAATCAATATACGTGGTTTTTTTAACACGTCAAACATTAGTAGACGGCAAAAAACCAGATTGTTTGTCGTTGTGGTTGCAACAGTGACACTTTTGGCTCTGTGGACCGCAAGAATAAGTCAATGTTGTCTAAACTGGTATATTCTAATTCGAATAAATTGTCCGAACGTATCATAATTATTTATTTTAAAAACTCATTATTTTGATAACAATTGAATTCCATAATTCATACACTTTAGGTTTGCACGCTTTAGTGATATGTTTTTTTTTAACCATAAGGGTGGTGTCTGATTGATTTGAGTTTGGTCCCCAAAGGTCAAAAGCGTCTGGAGGTCCCAAGTTCAAATCCAATAAGAAATAAAAATCCAATTATGATTATGGAGGTTCAAATGCGGTGACTCTAGGCTACCTGCAAAACAGGTAGTCGTATTGAGACTAGTCAGTTCCCATAACGAGTTGGATAGATATAATGTTATACAGTTGCATCGAGATATGGATTTATATTTATAAAGTATTTATTGCGATATTTAATAATAAAAAAAATACACCAATTAATTGTAGTAGAATTACCGAGATGATAAGTAGTTCGGAGTATTTGTATTTACCATAAATAATAGTTTTGTCGTAACAATTTTCTTGTTTTTCTAGACTGTACGATTCTACATTGACTGGGGGTGGAACAAGTGTTGTCGTACAAGAGACTGGATATCTTATTTATTAGACGCGTTTTAAAATCATGAGTCTAGATGTGGACAAAACGAATAATATTTGATACGGTTAGTTTGCGATATTAGAGATGGTATAAGAGCCGGAAACCTGACTAGTGTGCTAACGAGGATGTTGGCTCTCAAAAGGATGGACTGTAAGATCTCATAGAGTCACTGATGACTTAGGGGTTGCCTGACAGTTACTGAATGATTTGGTGCAAAATGATTAAGTAGTCATAATGATTAAGAGGCTCTCATGATATAATATAAAATGAAATATAATTGCTTGATAATTGTTTAAGGTGAAATTATGACGTTGAATGGTTAAGGGAGACACATGATACAAAACCATACAGAGGGTTTTAGAATCATTAAGAGACAAACTTTTTTTCTTAAACAAGATTCAACTCTTAACGGTTCAGATGTTGCCTCTTAATGAAACTATTAAAAGGTAAACAAACAAAGCCTAAGGCTCAACCGGGGTACGGAAATATGCCTCGTTTTACTAGTCGAAAATGTATGACACATATGAGTATGACATTTCTAAACAGAGGCATTATTGTCCTTTTTTTTTACTTTAAACGTAATTTTGTTGCACAAACTTTATTCAAATATTTATTTTAGTCATTTTAATTGTTTTGAATTAAAACTGACAATACATTTTAAAAGTTTAAGAGGTGTTTGGTTGTTTATTTGAAAAAAACTTGTGTTTTTCTAAAAAATTCTTTATCAATTTATTATAAGTTAGAATGATTTAACTTTTTCAAAAATTTCTTACCACTAGTTTTGGACCGGTATAAGCTGTTTATCTAAACACTCAAAAGTGTACTGGTATCATACCAGAACAAGTCAATAAATTATTTTTATAAACAGTCGCAAACATCCCTAAACTTATATATATTATGAATTACTTTCTATTCGGGCAGGGACGGACCCAGAGTTTTTTTAAAAACGGTGACACCATTTGACCATAAGAAAAAAATAAATAGATTTTTTTTTTCAAACGGTGACACCGTTTGACTATAAGAAACAAATTTATGGAATTTTTTTCAAACGGTAGCATCATTTGATTATAAAAAACAAATATACGGATTTTTTTTTCAAACGGTAGCACCGTTTGACTAAGAAAATGACACTAACATGATTCAGACTTGGGTATGAGGTGGAATAAAAGTCTTGCAAACCAACTAGACCAAATAAAACTTGTTCTCATTGTAGTTTCAAAATACATACGGTGACACACAACAAATTAATACGGTTACACCGTTCACAAAACCTAAATTTTTTATCTTTCGGCAGAGAAAAGATACGGTGGCATGTGCCACACATGGCACCTAACTAGGTCCGCCCATGTATTCGGGTGGTCGCAGGGACGGAGCTACTTTGGTGCTACCGTATTATTTCTTTGTTGAAGGATAAAAACTTTTAGGTTCGTGAAATATGCAACCGTATTAATCTGTTATGTGCCATCGTATGTATTTGAAAATTACAATGAGAACAAATTTTATTTGGTGAAGTTGGTTTGCAAGACTTTTATTTCACCCCAAATTGAAGTTCGAATCGTGTTAATGTCGTTTTCTTAGTCAAATCGTGTCACCGATTGAAAAAACTACGTAAATAGAGTTAAAAATACATTATGAAAAATAAAGATTGAATAAAGAAAAGGGAATGAAGGAAAATGGGCCTGCCGTAGCATGTTTGTGTAATCCATTCCTTACAGAAAATGGAGGGAATACATATAATTTCCCGCTTCTTTCTTCTCCCTTATTTCCCCCCATCGCTGTTTCGAATTCGTCCTGCTTCTTCCCTGCCGCCTCCCTCGCATCTGCAACTCCGCCTTCGTCGCCGATCGTTGTTGCTTCTCTTCTCCTCCATCGCGGTGGTTTTCTGCTCAATTTCAACCTGTTGGCTGCAATCGTAAGTCCTCATCTTGAATTTTACGTTTGATTTGTGGGAGTAATGCATATTTATGGAATTATAGGTTTTTTGTTTTGTGAGTGTAATGAATCATATGTAGCAATGTTTTTTTGGATGATTAGTGTGTTATATTAGTGCAATTGTTGATGGTATAATTTGGAGGATGAAAGATGCACTATGTATTTGATGTTATGCCACAATGAACGATAATTGAACACCATAGGTAAAGTTTACTTGTAATGTTTTTTAGTAATTCCAATCCCTATATTTCACTTACCACTGGATACGGTGTTTTCCCACGAAAACCAGTTATTACAATCCATATATTTTTGCATCTGTGTTCATTTCCATGCTTAAATCAGTAACAAATATCAGCAACAAATATCAGCTATTTTTCGACATTGACTTTGGACAAATCAACAGGAGATGCCATCAATTGCAGGCAATAGATCATCACCTATGTCAATTGCAGGCAGTGACGTTTCATCCCCTCAGAAACGGAGGTTGAGATCTAATTCGGCTTTATTGGATGATCTGGTTTCTAGTATTCCATCTAACCCATGCTCTCCATTGAAGAATAAATCTCCTCGTCGATGCATGGCTGACAGTCCCAATAGAAGTCAAGCAAATGTGAGTTTTTTAGATCGAGTGTTTATTTTATGTCATTCAGTTAATCCTAATAGCATATTGTTACAATGAAGCCTAAGCAAACATCATTTGCAGGGGAATGAAACGGTTGCCAGTAATAATGTAACGAAAATGACGAAATCCCCAAAGAAAAAGCTGCTGGATAGTTTCCTTGATAAACCGATCTGGAATCCAACAGGTTATCTCAAATTTTCTTCATACTAGAATGATCTATAATCTGTAATAGGATTCATGTGATTTGTGCATGTGGGTGCCGATGGTCTAATTTTCACTTTCTAATTCAAAAGATGCATGTTTATGTAGATTTGGAGCAACTAAGTGCGGTGAAGGAGGCGTTGCATGTATCCACATCTCCATCTATGATTGTGTGCCGTGAGGATGAACAGAAAAGGATAGCGGAGTTTTGCAAGCAGTGCCTCGAGCAAGAGAAGGCTGGGAGTTTGTACATTTGTGGTTGCCCAGGGACTGGAAAATCGCTTTCAATGGAGAATGTGAAGGGCTCTCTGGCTGTTTGGGCTAAAGAGGTGATTTGCTTTTTTATATAAACTTGGCATCCAATTTGGTTTTTATATAAACATGGTAGTGTCAAGTCAATGCTAGTGTTTGATACAAGATATCATATAAACTTGGCATCTGATTCAAGATTCCATTATTATAAGAGGGATTACTAGTGCAAATGTTGCATATTTGCCTTTCTCCGTTCAGTTCTACTTTAATATATGTTGTTTCATACTATATTAAGAGAGAGTTCTAGATACCTCTTCTTTATCTGGAAACAATATGGGGCAATTGGAGCTATATGCTTTTCTCTTCATTGTTTTGTAAGTGTTCAGTCATGTAACGTAACCCTCTAGTAGTGCTTTTCCATAGGCCAATAATTATTTTAAATAGTTTAAGATGTGCATTGAGATTTCTATTATTGTGTGAAGACTTGCATTTTATCCTGTATGCCTCTTTGTCTATTGTTCTTGGCCAAGTTATGTTAAAACAGATCCACAATCCTCTCATTGACAGTCCAATCTCTTCGTAATCATGTTAATCATATTATGATATCACAACAGTAATGTAGATAGCATAATCTTAGGCTAATATGGTGTAAATATTTTGTGCATAAATTGTATAGATACCAGTTGGCTGCTAGACAAGCACAAGGAAATTCACCAAATTAATGTTAATGTTTAACCCTATAAGGAATTGCAGTTTATGCCTTGACATTTATGTAAATATATATTGCAATTGGCTCTGTTACAATTGCAGCACTTGATCTTTACTAGTCATTATATACATGAGTTGTTGCCTAGTCTGAAAATTTCCAACTTGTCTACACATGCCTTCATTGTCATTTCTTTAGTATGATGCTTACTTTCTGTCAGAACTCATGGAACCATGGTTATTGTTTCCAGACAGGGGGTCAACTGCCAGAAATTTTGACCATAAGTTGTCCTTCTCTTTCAAGCACCTCAGAAATCTTCAACAAGGTGAAAATTTATTATGACAATGATGTTGATAAACATAGAATCATATGTAGCCAATATAATGCTCAAAAGTTGGTGCCTTTGGCAGATACTTGGAAAGAGTCAACCACAAAAGAAACTCAATGGTCGTTCTACACCCTTAAAGCAGCTTCAGCAATTGTATTCCAAAAAGCAGCAGTCACCTGGCATGAAAATGATGTAAGATGAATCAGTCAATGTTCTCAGTAACACATACAAAAACATGAATACATGGCTATTAACTCTTGTATGCAGACTTGATCTATGATCAAATTGAATATCAAGCTGCTTTTTGTTTGCTATCTTTTATGTTTGGTGTATTCAGACTAGTGATACCACATTGGAAAATGGATCTTATGTTATCCAAGGTCATTCCACTCATTGCTTGTTGGTTTTGAGTTGGAACCCCAAAGATTGATCATAGTGAAGTTGTTAACACGAGTTGTTAGCAGGTTGGTTATTGCTGATGAGCTGGACTATTTGATAACTAAGGACAGGGTGGTGCTTCATGATCTATTTATGCTAACAACATTGCCCTTTTCAAAAGTTATATTGATAGGTATGATGTGTCATATTGTGTTTGAACTTAATTCATTTTGTATTTGTTATAAGTTCCTCATATTGCATGTTTCTCTTACAGGCATAGCTAATGCAATTGACTTAGCAGATCGCTTCCTTCCAAAACTGCAGTCTCTAAATTGTGAGTGTTTGTTTTTTCATCACCCTCTATGCATGCATACTGCTTTTGGTTTCTTTTAACATGCTGAATTAATCCATTACTTGGTATGATCCTTTTTGTTTTTTTGAGATGAAGGAATTGGGAACGAGGAGGGGGGGGGGTAAGACAACTAGAATTATAAATCAAGTATAGCCCCTAGACAACAAGAATTATACATCAAAATTTTCAAGATTCCTGTCATCCTGTGGTGCCTTCTAGTATTTTAACTCCCTTGCATGGAATAGTATCTTTGAATTTTTCTGTACCAAACCTTTGAAACTTCACCCTTTTACAATCAGGGCAACAGCTCTCTTACCTGGCTTGTCCACCTTGCCATTTTACATTTCTACTGTTCACACTTGCTATGTCTATTCCTGTGAACAACAATACCTTTATGCTATTTTTCTCTCATTATTCATAATTTCAGATTCTGCCATGACTTGCTCACCTGTTGCTTGCCTTTTTTTGCTTTTTTTTAACTTATTGCAATTGTCAGGTCTTTTGTTTGTTGTTTATTATTCTCATTTGAGACACAGACGAGTTATGGAAACCATAATGCTCACTTGTGGCTGTGTTTTTAGTGTTTTTTCAATCCTATTTTGGGGAAGGAAATAAAAATGGATATGCTCTGTTTTTTTGGCATTACACTAATCTCTGATTTCTTTCTTTGTTGTATTAGGTAAGCCTATGGTTGTGTCTTTTCGAGCCTACTCCATGGAGCAGATCATCATCATTCTCAAACAACGGCTAATGGTAAGTATTATTTATCTTCCTTTTAGCATTCAAGAAATGATATTGGAAAAATGTGCCCCCATACCACATTCTACATATGTCAACTAAGGGGAGGGTAAACAAACATCAAAATCAAAATGGTCAACCACCCTCCAAGGTTTTAGATCATAATAATGATGTCCTCCAATATCTAACACCAGCTTTTCTGGTGTATATATTGAACTTCAAAAATGGCCAACTAAAGTTGGCCGAACTTGTCATTTGGCACCATAATTTGTTAGCTTCACCCATCCAAATGCTGGTTAGCTACTTATCTAGCTAGCTGCAGTTGGTAAATGGTTCTTGAAGTGAGCAATGCTAATGAGTTCATGGCTATTACTTCGTTTTTTGTTTACATTTACCCATTTTCTGCAAAATATTTATTTTATTCATGTTTTGTTGCATCAGGCACTTCCTTACGCCGTCTTCCAGCCACAAGCACTGGAACTCAATGCACGAGTGAGTATGCCAGAATATCTGTTTATCTTTGCTTTAATGTAGCTGTTTTTTGCACTCCTTTGCACTGTTCCAACTGTAAATGTTTGATTTGCAGTAAGGAATTGTGTTGCATGTTTAATTCATGTGTCTTTAAAATAGTAGCAATTTGATGTTCTCCTTGGTTATAAAGCTCACACTGTTCTAATTTGGCAGAAAGTAGCTGCCGCATCTGGGGATATGAGGAAAGCTCTTGGTATTTGCAGGTTGGCATGTTTTCTAATTCCTTCTTAAAATTCTTCTATAACCTGTTAAGTCTTTGAAGGTCTCTAATTAAAGTTCAAGAATCTAGCATGGTAATTGCAGATTAACCTGTGAAGTTAAAAACATCTTACAAATCTTATACTTCAAATATTATGTAAAGGCATGGTAAGCCTTTAATATTTGTGTATGGAACAGCTTTGTCATGTAGTAAACATAATGGCCAACTTAGAACAGGCTATTCTTATTCTAACTTCAAGAAGAAGCTGTTCGGTTGGTTTTTCATTAAGTCCTGTATGGATAAAGTTGTCTGTGTTGATTAATCTGTCTATATAGGTTGGGAAAGTTTTTCTTTGAGAGTTTTTTCATAGATTGAACGAGTGTGTTTTTTAATTGGGAGGGGAAGGTTTGGAAAAAACTTGGCTTTCTGCATAAAACTTTGCTTGGAAGCTTACTTATACGTTTCTTTCTATATCATTAAACCACTACTAAACAGTCATATACAGCTGACTGAATAAACTGTGAGTCTGATTAAACTCATTAAACTGCTAACAAGCAGGCCCTAATGAAAGGGCTATTGTTTTATGATTTAGTCTCTTAGCAACACAAAAGGCAGTACCATAAATTATGGAAATATTGAAGGATGCAGATATTAATCTTTAGCCTTTTTCCTGGTTTCTAGGGGTGCAATTGAGATGCTAGAAACCGAGCTTCGAGAATCTGCATGCACTTCAAATCTTTCAGCGATGGTAAAGTTTTCTCATTATATATATAGCTTCTTTTGAGTTTTAACAGATTAAGAGAATATAATTTGTGATCTTGCTTCTGGTTTGTGTGCAAGATGTATGTAATAGTAACCACATGATGTTCACTCACGAACATGATAATTACAGATCAAAATATTTTCTTTTGCCTTTGTAGAACTGATTCTGCTACCACTTTTTTTAAGGCCCTGTTTGATTTGCAGGATTTAGTAGGATTTGGATATGAATTTCATTCCAATCCTGTGTTTGGTTTAAAGGAAAATCTGGAATTGAAATCCCACAAACATGACATTTAGAAAGAAATCCCATGGGGTAGTTGGTATTTCACGGAATTTTGTAGGAATTGTTTGTCATAATGTTTTAAAATATGTTAAAACCACTTGTTTTGTAATTATCAATTAATAGAAAGGCAATTTAATTATTTTTTAAATTTGTTTTTATAAACAATGGATTCAATTCCATTCAAAATCCTACAAACCAAACTCATCAAATATTCCAAATCCTTCCAATTCCGATTCCAAATCCATGAAATCCAAATCCCTTGAAAACATTCCGTCAAACCAAACAGGCCCTAAAACTTTGATTAGAACATTATTTCAATTTTTTTGGGTTGTAATTTTGGGTATTCAGTTTATGATACAGTAAATAAGTTTCATACTTGGATTTGGTTTGATCCTGATATTGCTGATATAACCTTTGTGAAACCAGTCATTTTCTTACTGCCTGTATTTACTTGAATTTGTTGCAGGTGAGGGTTGATCATATGGCTATTGCTTTGTCAAGGGCTTACAAATCACCAATAGTTGACACAATACAATCCCTTCCCCAGCATCAACAGGTATCATTAGTCTACCATTAAAATATCAAAGTCATCTGGATAAATAGTTACTCCCTCCACACCAGAATAAGTGTCCATATTTTTATGCTGTTAATTATGAGATCAAGAAATTCGTTACTCCTATTATTAGATAAAATAAGTATCCATTTTCAAAAGTAAGTGCCTACTTTCCAATTACACTCTTATGGGATGAAAAAATTCATTACTTTCTCTATAATTAACCGTACAATAAGTATCTATTTTCAAAAGTGTCTATTTTCTAGTTATACCCTTAATTATGAGATGAACAAATTCATTACTCCGTTCATTATTAAGGATAAAATAAGTATCCACTTTCAAAATTAAGTGCCTTTTTTCCAATTATACCCTTAATTATGAGATGAACAAATTCATTATTCCGTCTATTGTTAAGGATAAAATAAGTATCCACTTTCAAAAGTAAGTGCCTTTTCTCTAATTGTACTCTTAATTATGAGATGAACAAATTCATTACTCCCTCTATTATTTAAAGTAAAATAAGTATCCACTTTCTAAAGTAAGTACCTACTTTTCAATTATACCCTTAGTTATGAGATGGAAAAAATTCTTATTCCCTTTGTTACTTAGGGTAAACTAAGTATTCACCTTCAAAAGTAAATGCCTACTTTTTGATTATACCGTTAATTATGAGAGGAAAAATTTTTATCACTTCTATTATTAGGGTAAAATAAGCATTCACTCTCAAAAGCAAGTGTCCACTTTCTGATTATACCCTTTATTATGAGATGAAGAAATTTATTACTCCTGTTAAATTAAGTATTCACTTTCAAAAATACATGGGTACTTTCCAATTATACCCTTGATTATGACATGAAGGAATTGTTTACTCCCTCTATTATCAAGGGTAAAATTGTTTTCCTTTTCATTGTTGACAATTATTCTGGGACGGAGAGAGTACAAAGATTATTGCATCACTAGTATCATATTGATGTCCACCGTTTTAAGCCTTTTATCCTTTATTTGAAGTAAACCAATTTTCCATGGTGTAGATTATACTCTGCTCTGCTGTGAAGCTTTTTCGTAGAGGAAAGAAGGATACGACAATAGGAGAGGTAGAATTATGTCATCTTTACGGCACAAAGACGAATTTGAAATCTATGTTTACCCAATTTTCTAATCAAAACTTGTTATTGAATGCAGTTAAACAAGTCTTACATTGACGTATGCAAATCAACATTGATACCACCTGTTGGAATAATGGAACTTTCATGCATGTGTAGAGTGTTAGGTGATCAGGTAAACACCAACAACATCTATCAGATGGAGTCCTATCTATCAAATGCAATGACTTTTTATTTATTTATTTATAAATTGTTTTATTTTTCAGGGAATTCTCAAACTTGGTCAATCTCGAGACGATAAATTAAGGAGAGTGACCTTGCAGGTAGATGAAGCAGACATCCTTTTTGCATTACAGGTACAGAAAACAACTTTTAGTTTCCTTGTGAGATTGGTATTTAGACAATACAGTTCATGACAAAATCATTGTTTAGTTTGATAAGACAGAACTGGACATGATAGAACTGATAAAATAACTAATTTACCAATAAAAATGATTAAAATGACACAAAAATAAAAAGTTTATGTAACTTCTAATTTTTATTTTATGTTTTCTATATTATTTTTTTATTACTAATATTTAATAAGTTATATAAATTGATTAAAATAAAGAAACAATATAAAATAATATTTTTAAGACAGTAAAGTGAAAGGTTAAACAATATAAAAAAAATAAAAAAAATATAAAGTATGAATAAAATGTAAAGAAGGAGGTGTATTTAACGTTCTACACGAGAATTAAGTTTTATTTTAAGGTTATATTGGTAAAATATAGGTTTGTTCCACCTTGTTCCACTTTGATCTTGTTTGTTCTAAATATAAGTCTTGCCAAATATGCCTTGTTGGCTGTTCTTTCCGTTATATGAGCATGTTTTTAGTTTTTATATAAGCCAAAGATATTCATGAAAACAACTGCTCCGGCCTTTGGGTGGAAGATAATTCTGCGAACATCCCATCAGTCTTTGCACAAGCTGGGATTTTTATAAAAACAACCACTTTACCCATTGGGCTAGATGACATACTTGTATACATTCCACTGTTAAGACCCTGCTTGCGAGTGAGATATACTAGATTAATTTGGTTTGGTTTGATCAATAATCACTTGGTTACTTTGTTTCAGGGCATCCGTTTCTTTCGAAACTGTCTTCAGTAAATTTCAACCATCGATATCTTGCATCTGGTAACGAATCCCGTTTCATGTGAATGAACCCTTTTGAAGTGCAATGTAAAGGTCAGAAAGCAGTCCTTTAATCTGGGCCACAAAGGTTTCAAACCGAGCTTAGTGCAATGGTAGCAGCAAAACTCCCGTTAACTAAAATAAACAAACACAATATGTCCCATTCGTTGATATTGATTCTTTAATCTCGTCATACAGAATGTAGATGTTATACGAACCACAAAGTAGTCCAAAATATCAAAGTTTATGCATAAATCGGTTTGAAGACCGGATATCAACAAACCCAACTAGATTTGACATAGAAGTTTAGCATTTGGTTAGATGAATAAGCCAATTTTGTTATCATTATGGGATAGTTATGTTTTATTCTATATTTTGTGATTCTGGTAAGATGGTTTAGTAACATTTTATGATGCAATTTAATTGGAGTTTTTGCAAGTTATTTAATGTTTTGTTTGGTGTATGCTTCTGTTTTCTTTTAGAAATAATTTGACTCTTGTAATTTTGGGTCTGTTTGGTTTGCAAAATTGTTTTTGAGGGATTTTGATTTTATGGAAGAATTTGGATTTGAAATCATTGGTGTGTTTGGTCTGTAGGATTTGGAATGAAATTGGATTTTATTACTTAAAAAAATTATAAAAGTAATTAAATTACATTTTTATTAATTGGTTATTACAAAACAAATGTTTTTAACATTTTTAGAACCTTCTTGCATATAATCCTACGAAATACTGTGAAATCCCAAGCATTTCTAAGGATTTCAAAATCTTATGTTTGCAAGATTTTGAATCCAGACAATCAACAAACCAAACATGAGATTGGAATGAATTTGAAATCCAAATGCTCTCAAATCCGTTCTATTATTGCAAACCAAACATACCTAATAACCTGTAATGTTGTATTAAAAATATGTTAAAAACATGGGACTTTGACCAAAGCATTTTAAATTCACTTTTTAACCATTTTTCAAGACTTTATTTAAACATTTGTGTATCAGATTAAAAAAAAAAAGAAAAAAAAATTCACGCAAGGATCCAATTTTTGTAAAGAATTTATTAAGAATTCTCATTTGTAGTAATAAATTTTATTTTTTTAATTTACAAAAATGCGCAAGGCATTTACGTAAAGTCAGCCTGAAATAAGAGTTCAGTTTTAAGATTGACTAAAAAACGAACTTGATTAGAGAGATTGGCTCAGATAATTTCCCTCAAAACTTTCGTTTTATAATAATCAAAAAACAATTTGGTTAGTTTTTAATTCCATAAAATTTGAGAGCGTTGTTGCTTTTAAACAACTTTAGAAAGAGTGTCAATCATTTCGACTATTTTTATTTTAAATATAATTTTAATAAAAAAAGAATGTGATCGATATGATATTCATTTTTGTTCAATAAATACATACATGTTTTGATCCACATATGAAGGATTGAATGATAATATAGTTGCGGTGAAATTATATCTGATTTTACACTAAAATCATTGTAATTATAGCACACGGTCAATGTAAGGGTGTGCAAAAGACTTATCGCAGGCGAGATCACACATAATCATAGACGGACCTAATATAGTGGTTATGGTGGCACGTGCCACCGTTTCATTCCTTCGTTGTAGTGTAATTTTTTTTAGGTTTATGACAAGTGTAACCATGTCAATTTGTTGTATGCCACCATATATATTTTAAAACCACAATAAGAATACAAGTTTTCCTTGGTAGAATTGGTTTACAAGGTTTTCTTTCATTTCAGATCTGCGTTCGAAACCCGTTAGTATCAATTTTTTTTATTTTTTAGCTTTTAATTTCAGATTTATTATGTTTCTAAAAAAACATTGCAATAAAAGATTTAACACAAGACCTCACGTATGAAAAACAATAAACTAACCAACAAACCAATTATGATGTTGTAAAAAAATCGCGATATTTGTTTCTTATAGTCAAATGGTGCCGTCGTTTGAAAAAAATTCTGGATCCGTCCCTACAGATAATCAAATGTGATTTTACAGTTACAATTTAATCGTTCTCGTATTATTTTACATATCACCATCCTCGTTTGAACCCGACTACTTAATTACCCTAAACTGAAATATTTCTAATATTATATTTATGTGTGAGAACATTCCTCCACTTATCTGTGTTGACTTGGTATATTTTCATCCATTTAGCACTTATCTCTCCATATCTCCATATGTGTAAATCTATGCAAATTATATGTATACATTCACACATATATATATATATATACACACACTCACTCACACACACACACACATATATATATATATATATATATATATATACACACACACACAAACACACTCTCGTCCTTAGATTTTGAATTCAAAGTAATCTGATCATGGAAGATAGAAGCAGCAACCTGGTTCATACATCTTTGGATCTCAATTCCTTCTCTCAATATCTTCCTGTAAGTCCCCTCTACATACATGCTTATATATATATATATATGTATATATATATATGTATATATATATCGGTTTTCACTTTCTTGATTTTGCCTCTCAGAAACAAGAACTTCAAACCAGCTTCAATGGCTTTAAATTCGACATCATGATCCCACCTATGACTGAACATGATGAGGTAATCACACCTTCCCTATATATATATACACACACACACACACATATGGATCACGTTATGGGTAAAATCGTAAGAAAATAAAAAAGTGACGAACACCCTCGTAACCGTTCATTTAGACAATATGCACATGTATATACAAGTAAATGAAGTTGTTTTTTGGTTTTTTATGTCCATGTTTCTCAGTTTTTCATTTTTTGCGGTTTTTCCTTGAATATGACATGATATATATGAATTAAAATGATATGAATTTGGTTCTGGAAACTCAGGAGGCTGGTGATTTGGCTGAGGAATTGAATCGAGTAAACATGGAGAACAAGAAGTTGACACAAATGATCAAATCCATGAACACCAAGTACAATCTTTTGCAAAGCCGTTTATCGGATTACGTGACCAAAAACCCCGACCGATCTGCCGCGGGGGCCGCCACCGCCACCGCCAAGCGAAAACCTGAAACACCCATCTCCGGCAACTCCGAGAGCAATTCAAGTAACGAAATTAATACTTGCAAGAAACCCACAAAAGATGAACACAATATCAGACCCAAGATTTCCAGGGTTTTTGTTCGTAGCGAAGCTTCGAAAACCGGCCTCGTAAGTCTCTCTAAGAAACCGTATATACGTACGTGTTCATCGACCGATGCATCGTTGAGTTGTACAGTACAACTCAACATGACATCGATCAAGAATTCATGAGAGTTTAAAGGTGTGGATTTATGTTTTTATATATTGATTTGCAGGTAGTGAAAGACGGATATCAATGGCGGAAATATGGACAAAAGGTGACGAGAGATAACCCTTTTCCTAGGGCTTACTTCAGATGCTCATATGCTCCAACCTGCCCAGTTAAGAAGAAGGTACATAATAAATTCTGTTCTGTTTGTTAAGAGCTTAATGAGAATTATAGCTTATTCAGTCAGTTATATAAAACTGTTTGATAGTAACTTATTCGTTAAACTTTGTCTAGTGGAGTCATCTTTAAAGTAGACTAAAAGGCTGCAAAGTCGTCCGATGTGTTTTTAACCTAATTACAACGTTTCGAGGGATTTTTAAAGTTTTTTGGTTGATTTCGAGGGATTTTTTAGTGTTTTTGTCGATTTCGAATAACTTTTTTGGTTTGATTGATTTCAATAGATTTTTTTTTGTTAGAGTAACGGTTTCGATTGGGATTGGGAGCCCGTGGGAAAATGTAATGGGGGAAGTGAAAGGTAAATCATGTAAAACCTAAATTTTAACCTAGATTTTTTTTGACTTCCCCTCCCCTCTTTTGCTAATGTGTCCGCCCTGCAAACAACCCCTATGACGATATTTGACAAACTGGCTGGGGAGTTAGCTGATATATGGCTGATAAGCTAATTGTTAGCTGATGAAGTAATCACGTTTAACAAAAACTAACTTATAAATTAGTTGAGAAATATGAAATGACCAAAAAAATACGTGTTTAATTTTCTTTTTGTCAATTCTAACATTTCAAGATATAATTAAAATAAATTTCTAAATTTATCTGACTGTAACGAAGTTTGCCTTGATTAATATTTAAGTATAACAGTGATCTTTAGTATTTTAACGCTCTAACTCTTCTTATTTCATGCACATTTTTGAAATGTAGCCGGTAACAATCCTTGATTATGTGAAAAAAATGACATGAAATCCGTCAGATGACATAGGTTGAAAACTAGTTTATCAGATAAAATGGATGTACAAAATTAACAGTTTAACGTTTGTCACGCTAACTATCTGAGAAAAAAAAAGTAGGAAAACGAGACAAACTTCGCTATATTAATTTTGCCCGTTTTTGCAAAATTAAATAACGAACTTTTATGGTTATTTCTTTTCATACAGTTAGATTATGATCGTCGAACTAATAATCAAATCTCTAATCGAACCCAAATTCAAATTCACGGTGCTTAAATTTATGGTACTAAACAAGTTTCAATCATCTCAATGAACGGAATTCTGATTATCTGATCATTCTCACCTTAATCTTGATTTAGGTTCAACGAAGTGTTGAGGATCAAACCATAGTGGTGGCGACTTACGAAGGAGAGCATAACCATCCGCAACCATCAAGACATGAGCTCGTGAGCCCTGGCTTGAGACAGACTGTGACCGCTGCCAAGCCATGGTCAACCGTCCCCACGGTCACGCTCGACCTAACGAACCCTTTGGAATTCGATGGTGATAACGAAGGCAGCCGAATAACAGAGCGGTCGGAATTACAACAGTTTTTGGTAGGTCAATGGCATCTTCATTGATCGAAGATTCGGGCTTCAAATCAAACAACCAACACAACAAGCCCTAGCAAAAACATCATGTTTTAGCAGCTATTTATCATGGGTAGTTTAGTAATTAGCAATGTAGTTTAATCTACTTGTTTTTTTTTTGTTTCACATATTTTGATAAGACGAAAAATTTACATTTTTGTCTCACTCAGTTCCGTCATGCCTCCGTCCAATATCATGTGAAATGTGGTCAGTAAAACAATTTGGCTTTATAGAATGTCTAAAATGTTTAAACATCCTAAAAAAATCCATTATTAAATTTATAGAACCAAACAATAAACTGTTATCCACAAGTATTACAACATGTTTAAATTACACTTTTAGACGTTTTAACAAGTTTTTTTTTTTGAATATTTTTAGAATAAAATGTTGTAGTTAGTTATTTTATATGATATTTTTGAAGAATGTACTATAAACTCATCTCGTTATAAGACATTCGTGTTTATAGAATATTTTTTTGAAGTATATAATATATTTTATATACGGCAAATGCATCAAATAAACTCACACACCCTCTTTACCATTCGTGAGATTTGAACCCCTGACCCCCTAGGAAGCAAAAGGCTCAGATATCGTTAGGCCAAAAGCCTTTTCGTGTGTTTATAGAAACATTTTTTTCCGAATAATATGCTATACAATTTTATTTTAAAAATGTTCTAAAAGTTTGTTAAAACACCCAAAGAATGTTGTCACTTTTAGATATAACGTTTTATTGTTTGGTCTTTAAACACAAATTCTGTCAAATATTTTATCGTGACACTTACATATTTTAGATGTCCCATTATTCTGATTTCTTTGCGGAACGAATTCTTGTTACCAAATGCACTCATAGGATTCAATGATAACCATTTAAAACGATGGATTGCTTGCATAAAAATAATCATATTTAGGGTCTGTTTACCTAAATGTTTACCTGATAAGTGCTTATCTATAAGAGTCAACACTATAATTTATTTTGATGCGTAAGATTTTAGCCTATCAAAACGTATTGAATGCAACAATTTACCGGGTAAGCACTTACTTAAGTAAGAGTCGTAATCTTCACTTACCGAGGAAGACTCTCCATCCGTCTCATCGCTCTTACCCGGTAAGATTCTTGGCATTTGTCATGCTCATCCGATAAGATTCTTGACACTTGTCATTTTCACTTTCGTTTAATCCTTTTATTAATTTTTGTATGAGTATTTTTTTAATTTATTTTAAAATGGAATAAAAAGAGAAGATTCTAGATGAATGTTTAGTCGTGGACTTTGAAGGAATACTAGTTTTGACGTCAACGGCAACAGACGATCCTACCCCCAACAAGACTTCGGCGTTTCCCGCCCACAATACCTTTTTCCTATGTTCACATTCCATTGGCCACTTTTGTCTCCTTTTCTATTCTAAATTTATTTATTTATAAATATATCAGATATATTTTGATCTGATCGTTTGAGAATAAGAATTAAGATCATAAATGTAAGAATTGATCACTTTTAATCTTAAACCAATTGACAAGAATTGATCATCTTTAATCTTAAACCAACTGATAAATTATACTTTAAAATAGAATTGATTTGATGTGTCTTATTAGTGTTGATATGATGTTTCTCTTTAATTATGATAGATTTAAGGGTGCATATATATTTTTATCCTTATCCCATGACTTTCATTTTCATCGGAACCCTATCTTTTGATCTGATTTATATTATATATATATATATATATATATATATATATATAGGGTTGAGTTCACGTGAGACCACTTTTTTACACTTGAAATTTCAAAGCAAAACGTTACCCATGTTAGGAATCAAGTTAAAGTACGTTACATTTTTATTCAATTTGTCCTTTTAGTTTGTTTTACAACAATTGTTCACTTTCAAAAGTAAATGTTTACTTTTCCATTCTATCATTAATTATCAGATACAAAAATTTATTTCTTTATCATTAAAAATAAATTTATAGTTTTGTTTTAAAAATAAAATAATAAGTAGATATTTTTGAAAGGAATAGATGGGAATGGAATTGCAGATGAGAATGGGTCAAATGAGGCATCCACGTCAATAAAACGGTGATCCAAATTACAATCATAATCCTTCAATAATAAGTTTCATTTTTTTTTTATATGTAAAATAAGGGTTGTATTTATGTGAAAACAGTTTGTTTTTATGAGACCACATTTTTACACTTGAAACTTCATAACAAAATGTTATAAAGGTAAAAAAAAAACCCGAACCTTCATAGCAAAAACATTGTGAATATTACCTTCACAACGGTTTGCAGTAGAGTTTTAAGTGTAAAAATGTTTATTTGATCCAATAGATAACCAATAGTAATATCTAGTGTATGAAACATATCTGATCCAATCCCATTGGATTGGATTGGACTGGATGTCAAATGTTAAATTTGATTGGATCGGATGACAATATTCTATATCTATGATTGGATCGGATCCACCTAAATATATTGAATTTCAACCAATGAATACACCTAGTTTTAACCGTAGGGTGGCTAAATGCACCCTACCTATAAATTCTTCCTCGCGCACATCAATATCAAGATATATTTTTTCTGTAATTTTCAATTCATGAATTGATTTGATTCTGACATAAATAAGAGAGAGTGATTATATATGCACCCAAAAAAGTGCATATATCAATGTTGTCTTACGTGTCTTATGAAAACAATATTGTCTCACATGATCCCAAGTCTGTAAAATAAATATATATAAATTAATTATTACAATTTTTGCCAATGTTTTTGTGGTTTTCATTTAGTTCCTATCAATATATATATATATATATATATATAKAGAGAGAGAGAGAGAGAGAGAGAGAGAGAGAGAGAGAGAGATATGGGGAACCCTTAAAAAATAAAAAATTGAGGAATACCCTAATATAACTATTCATCTGGATGATATGCACATATGCATACAAGTAAGTGAAACTGTTTTTTGGTTTTATGCACTTATGCACATGTTCATATCAGACAAATTGCTTTTAAATTACTTGTATCCACATATGCATATCATCCAGATGAACGGTAACCACAGTGTTCTATGCATACAAGTAACTGAAACTGCTTTTTGGTTTTATGCACGTGTGCATATCAGACAAATTGCTTTCAAATTACTTTGTATGCGCACGTGCATACCGTCCAGATAAACGGTAACCATGGTGTTCCTCAATTTTTTGTTTTTTTTACAGTTTTTCTTGAATCTGATCCTATGTATATAATTATTTATAATGGAAAGAAAATGGTTAAAAATATTATAATAATTAGTTAAGTCCAAAAATGTTGTGTAGTTGAAATCAATCAATCCATCCATCTGGAAGCCTTAGCATCACAAATACGGTCAACTGAGGAGACTTTGACATATTTGACATTAATTTTTTAGGTTTTTTTTTTTTTTTTTTAATTCTTCTTTGACTTTGACATTTTAATTCTTTTTTCCTCCATCCTAAATCCTCTACAAACCTAATTCTTTTTAACTTTAAATATTTAAAAATAATTATTTTACTTGAAAATTTTCTCCCATGAAAACTTTATAGACATTTGAAAAATTCTAATCAGACGGGTCGCTTACTAAACCTTTACCGTGTCACTCATTATCTGGTGAGTATGACAAGAGATCTTATCTGTTAAGAAATACAGTAAAGATAAAAAAATCTTACCCGGTAAGTGTGGACTTACAGGTAAAAACGTTTACCACTAATCTATTTTAATGACCAATAATGTTATCTAATAAGGTAAGTGAAAGTGATGACTTTTGTCTTACCTGGTAAATATTTGGTAAATGGGCCTTAAATAAAATACATCAGTTATGTTGATCGATTTACGATGAACAGAGCCAATTGATACCATGAAATAAATACTTGCATGCTTCTTGCTTTTGATTTCGCTCACGTAGTGTTTTTCTTCCGACAGATTACGAAAGATAGGCTCAAGTTGTACTATACGCGTATGGGAACCAACAGAGACGGACCCATAATTTTTTCAAATGGTGGCACCATTTGGCTATAAGAAACAAATATGGTGGTACCATTTGACTATAAGAAACAAATGTAGAAAAAAAAGTTCAAACTGTTGCATCATTTGACTAAAAAAATGACACTAACAAGATTCGAACTCGGGTTTGGGGTGGAATAAAATTCTTGCAAACCAACTCTACCAAATAAAACTTGTTCATATTGTAGTTTCAAAATACATACGGTGACACACAATAAATTAATACGGTTTCACCTTTCACGAACCTAATTTTTTTTTACCCTTCAAACAGAGAAATAATACGGTGACATGTGTAATAATTGGCAGCACTGTATGTCCGTCCATGGGCACCAAGACGCCAATTAGTTCCTCGGTAAATTCAATTCATCAATGACACTTGTTTCCCTGGACCCTATAAACGCGTAAATGTATGTAGGACCCACACCTTGAAAACCTCTTATGACCAAGTCCTTGCTTATCGACTTTGCCTTATGATGTCATGATCGAGACTTGTCGGGTTTAAAAAGTCCATGTAATTATCGAAGGACCCAAATTCGTCAACTATCTACACCATTGCCATAAATTTGATGCCATATATCAAATCAAATTTTGATGAAATATTATTGACTATTGAGGATATATTCCGCTATCTATTATCTGTTAGTGGGGACAATGCCGAAAAATGTTCTCGTACTCGCAGATGGTAAGAGACAGTCCAGAATATGTCAGAATAAAAACCTGTTGTCTTACGTTTATTACGACATTTAGACTGGAACATGAAATGACCTGCCAAAATAGGTGGCAACAATTCCTTTATCCACATACCTCATTCTCGCCGGTCAAGTCCTATTTACATACTTCCTAATACTCTATATCTTCCCTAAAAACAATGGAACAAATTACCACCATAAAATAAGGGCCGTCTAACAAACGGTTATCGGGATAAGCGTTTACCAAGTCACATTACCTTACCAAATCAACATTGTAAGGACCAAAAATCTTACCCAGTAAGAGGCAAGGACTGAGAGTCTTATCCGATAAGTAACGGCAAACGACTCTTACCATGGTTAGCACTTACTGAGTTACTTGTTGCATACGATACCGTTTTTATAGACTAACATCTTACACGGTAAGTAATTGATAGTTTTGAATTTTACCGGTAAACACTTATCAAGTAGATAAACGGCCCCTTAATCTTTTCATATATAAATGGATAGATTAGATAGACCATAGGAGTTCAAGTGTCAAAAGTCTAGGAAAGAAAAATGCATCTTATTTATTCAATGGTATGGGGAGGAAACGATAAATATTGGTTGGCTGCGTCTATTGTTAACCCGGATACTGTTAAACCAATAACTATCTGGTTTTCGTTTTCACTTTCTTGGCAGAAAAAAAATCTTTACATTTGGATTCTCAATAGTCAATAGAATACTTTTTTAAACATAATTTTCGATTAATCACGAAAGAGTAGATAGTAGGAGTTGCTTGATATTCTATAAAGAAGAAAATAGTTATGGTTGTTTCAAGTTAAGGTAGTCAATACATGGTTATGTGCAACATACACATATGATATGGTGGCATATATATACAGACTTGAGATCATGTGAGAACATATTATTTTCATGAGACATAAGATCATATAAATAACAGTACACCTTCATAGTAAAACTTGTGAAGGTGTTTAAACCTTCATAATAAAATATTGTGAAGGTAAACCTTCACAGTGTTTTTGGTGTGAAATTTCAATGTTTTTCATACCTTCACAATGTTTTGCTGTGAAGTTTAAGTGTTATTTTGTGGTCTCAAGGGTCTCACGAATATAACCCGGTCTCACGTGAACCCAACCTATATATATATATATATATAGTCGGGTTCATACGAGATTGATACCTAGTTAAAAAAATAAGAAATTGCCGAATCACATGTGATTTTACACTAACATCGTGTACAAATTCACATCTGATTCACTCGACCTTACCCACGTGGCCATAGGGTAGCCCGCACACTTTTTTAGCCATTAATGTAAAATCACATGTGATTTTGAACGTAATTTTCCCATTTTCTTATCTTTTTAAATAGGTATCATTCTTGTATGAACCTACATCTCTCTCTATATATAACTACATTAAGGATGCTTTAGCAAAGCTTGAAAATATGGAAGACTCATCCTGAACTAGAACCTCAGGCCTTCCTTGCTCCACCTGCCAACAACACCATCGAATAACCCGTATCAAATAATATATCTTCACATCGGATTAAACGGAACTAATACATGAAAGAAAGGTGATGGAATTAGTTTGAATTCAACAAGTATTAATGTCGTAACGCTCTTTAGGTAACCTTGGTTGTCCATACCACCTTGTGAGCACCTCGACTAATCCTATGGATCCGTGGAAACAACAGGCGGGGAAACCCCCAATGAGGAGACTCGAACCGACAACCATGGAGAGAAGTCCCAAGATCTAGCCTTTATTTGCCGGTTGAGATCGCCCTCAAGGTTGTACGGTCATAACGGGAAAAATCTACTATAGCACCTAAAACCTCGTAAATATGCCCTAAAAGAGTACTTGAAAAGAAAAAAGAGGCTGCGATATATATAGAGGATGTTGGGATTGTGTCTATAGCCGATGTGGGACTCCAACACAACATACCCCTTCCAATAGAGGCTAGACGGGTGCAAATACCTAGGGTATCGATTTAGGGGACACTTGGTTTGACAGAATGTTTTGAGGAACTTGGATTTCGTGGAGGGGGCGTATTCGAATCCTACATCGGCTAGACTTTGACCCTTTATCCTCAATATATGTTGGAACCACTTTTCTCTCTACAAGAGCTCTTTTGGAGAGCAATCTGATGGGGTTCCACATATTCTCACATAAACCAATATTTCACAATGTGTATTTCGGTAAATAAAACAGATATAAAACTAGCAACTCAATTTGGAGAACATACCAAGATTCCTTGATCAAGAACCAATACATTGTCCATATGTAGAATTGTCGAGATGCGATGAGCAATCGTGACCACCGTCAACCCTCTGCATTCACTAGATATGGCATCCTTCAGTTTCGAAGCCGTTTGGGTGTCTACATTTGCTGTGCATTCATCCAAACATAACACCTAAATCATTTAACATCATTAGAACCTCAAAAATATTGGCACTCAAAGAAGAAGACCGATGAACTCTTCTATCGTTCTGACCATAGTGGACTTAAGAAAGGATCGTGCAAGGCAAAGGAGTTGCCGTTGCCCAACCGAAAATGAAGTTCCAGACTCTTTCATTTCCATATCTAGTCCCCCTGCCGCTCGGACCTCCTCCTCAATATGACATCTCTCCAGAGCTTTCCATATCTTTAAGTCATCGCTTGAATTGAAGGGGTCGAGGTTCTCCCTGGATATTTGTATCAGATAGTAAGTTAATATGTAGGAAGATAAAGATACTTTAACTACAATAAAACTGGTTTTATAGGACGCCTAAACTGTTTAAACGTCCTAATATATAGGACTTACGATTATAGGACCAAACCAAAAAACGTCCTATCTAAAAGTGTTACAATAGGTTTATAGGATGCTCTTAGGCGTTTTAACAAGTTTGTTAGGGCTTTTAAAATAAAGTGTTTTATTAGCTATTTTATACGACACTAGTTGAAAAAGAGTCATAAGCACAAGTGTCCTATCAAAAGATGGGTTTATAGGGTACTTCTCAAAAGTGTCATATAGAAATAGCTAATAGGACACGTCATTTTAAAAGCGTCATAAAAAGCTTGTTAAAGCGTCCTATAAACCTACTGTAACGTTTTTAGATAGGACGCTTTATAGTGTGGTCCTAAAAACCTATTGTAACGCTTTTAGATAGAACACTTTATAGTTTGATCCTATAAACTATGTTTTATAAAGTATTCTATCAGGACGCTTAGACAATCTAGGCATCCCATAAAGCCAATTTTGTTGTGGTGATATACCAACAAATGAGGGGCTTAATCAAATGACAACCACAAAAAAGTTACAAATCCATTGAGAACGAATCTCAAGATATTATTTCACATGATTTCTTTCATCCAAGGCCACATTTTAAGCTATTGTTCCACATATAGTAATGTATTTGTTTCACAATGTGAACTTTTACACTTGTATTTTTTGTTTCACAATGTGAAACAATGCATGATTCACTGGTTTTCAAGCTTTTTGTTGTTCTCACATGATTAGCCCCCCCACCCCCCCAAACAAAGCAAATGATATGCTTAAATATGTCGAATTGTACCTTAAAGATCCTTTAAAAAGGAATGGAGTCTGGGGAACGACTGCAAAACGTGATCTAAGATCTCTCAGAGAGACGTCTGCTATGTTTATTCCATCAACTATGATATGTCCTGCACATATTGGGTTGAGGCGGAATAGAGCATTCAAGATGCTAGATTTTCCGGCACCTGTCCTTCCAACAATTCCTACCTGCATCAAAAACCACTAATGTCAAGATCAACAATCACCTTCAATACGCCTAATAATGGTTGCAAGAACGAAAAATCAAGAATGCAGTATTGATGCGCTCTAGTCAGCTGTCTGCATCCATGGTCACTAGGCCAATGGCAGATCAAGAATTTTGGTGATGGGGGCGGAATTTACTTAATATAATATAATATGGGTCAAGTTCAGAGGAAAACCGCAAAAAAAATGAAAAATTGAGGAAGACTCTAGTAACCATTCATATGTACTTGTACGCACATGTACATACCGTACAGATAAATAGTTATTAGGTGTTCCTCAGTTTTTCAATTTTTTGGGGGTTTCCCATAAACCTCACTCTATAAAATATAATAGAAGTTCAATAAAAAGAGTATAGAAATGAGAAAACATGGCATTTATACATAAAACATAAGGCATTTATATGCAAAAAATAAAATTTATAATGTGAAAAAAATTATAATCTACGGGGCTCTAACTTATAATGGCATTTATACATAAAACATAAGGCATTTGTATGCATGTGCTTACTTTTTTTTTTTTTTTTGTGTGTGTTATGGTAATGCATACCTTAGTGAAAAATCCTGAATATGCAACGTCCAGTCGTTTCTATGATTCTTATTATATAATCCAGAATTGAAAATACATAGGTGTACATATAATTACATTTATGTTGATAGATTTACAAACCTGTGTTCCTCCAGCAATTCTCAAATTAAGATCACGCAGTGCAGGCGGCAAAGACGGCATATATCTGAGTGTTACATTACGAAATTCGATCTCCCCTTGAAATGGCCATTCCACGTCTAAAACCTTGTGCCCTTGAAGTTCTTCTTGAGGGATGTCCATGTACTATAATGAATGAAATCAAATGATTGTTTCCAAATGATAATTGTGAGAATATGTGGGACCCCCAGATCATTCGCTAAAAGAGTCCCTGGAGAGAAAGGGAGGTTCCAACATATATACAAGTCCAAGTCTAGCCGATCTGGGACTTCAACACGCCCCCTCAAATGGAAGCTAGATGGACACATATTGTCCTAGAGTGCCGAGAGGGGGCTAGCCAGAGTGTCGGGTACCTAGAGTGGCAAGCCTTGGCTCTGATACCATGAGTGAGTATGTGGAACCCCCAAACACCTCTCCAAAAGAGCCCTTGAGGAGAAAGGGGAGGTTCCAAGTTCCAAATATATACAGGTCCAAGTCTAGCCGATGTGGGACTTCAACAATAACCATTAACAAGCAAAAACAGTTATTATGTTCAGACCTGAAGAACCCTCTCAACTGAGACCAATTCCTTCTCGGTCTCGGTGAAGCTTGTCAAAAAGCTCCCCAACAATGATACAACTGGAGCTGCGTACGAAAGGGCTAAGCCTACCTGTTTACAAAGTTTCAATGTTAAGCGGTGTTCTCGGAACAATAAGAAATTGGTCATATTATTCTGAAAACTATGACTATAATAATTTCCTAAATGGAATGTGCTCAGGATATTGAGGACTTACCAATCCTGGGGTACCTAGATTGATGGGAAGATGTCCATGAGATCCAACAATCGCCATCACCGCAATATAAGATACAACAAAAGCTGCCAAGAACTAAGGCCATACACTAATTACTAAGATTTATTAAAGTGTGTACTAAAGCAAATATCATCAAGAATAAAGTATTGAAAATGCAATATGAATCCCACGTTTTAGAAGCATACCTGTAGGCGTAAGGATAGCCACAGGCTCGCTATTATCTCTGAATAAGAAGTTTTCTGGTACATCTTGACATGCTCGATGAATCTAGTCAAGAAAAAGTCCTGCGTACAGATGAAGAGCATTACTTAGTGCCATGGTTTTCTTTAACTGAAATGATGATAGAAATTCATACATGCCAGAAAGAAATGTAATGTATTAATAAATTTGAAGCAATTATATGAAAAATATTGAGCAATAGGCGCCGCTTGCTCATCTGAATAAATCAAACCAAACCAAACGAGCCAAATATATACAACTAAAGGTGGGGTCCGGAGGTGGAATGTATGTAGACCTTATTCTACCCTCAAAGAGTAGAATGGTTGTTTCTGTGAAAACTCCTGGTTTGTGAGCGAAATAAATCAAAAGTTTTTCTTAAAAATAGAGGAAATAGCAAAAGGGTGATGGTTCAGAAAAGAACAACCAACAAGAAAACAAATCTTGCTATTTCAAGGTAGAGGAAACCTATTAGCCTTTTCAGTAAAAGAACATGCTAGGATAAAACTGTGTATAAAATCAAATTTTAAATCAACAACTTCACCTCAGATTTAAATGCCCTTATAGTTGATGACCCATCAAGTATCTCTGAGAATGACGCATATATGGGTGAACGAGATACACTGTCCAGCCTTCTCAATTCGCGTGATGTTGCCCTGTAGTAGAACTGAAAAACCCGTTACTTGGTAGTGTTACTATGCCTTTCTGGAAGAGTATTTGTAATTTTGTATCAGAAAAATATATTGATAAGAGTTACCTGTATTTTGCTGTAGATATACGAAAATGGGAGTATGAGAAGCAAGAACATGACCTGCACATATACATGTACGCTGATCGAAGTTCATGATAATTCAATATTCAAAACTATTAAGTAAAATTAACCATGACTCTATTGAATCAATTGGTTACCTGCACAGCAGACAAAATTAGAGCAATCCCTAAGAGGCCAACGAAATTGGCTAGGAGGATGTTGAGAATGAAAGGAAGAGAATCATCGATTGTGTAGAGATCTGAAGACAGCCTACAAAAACGATCAAAATGGACACTGGGGAAGCTAAAAGCTCATCTCATTGAAAGAACTTATGCTACCTGTTAAGTATTCTTCCACTTGGGGTCTGATCAAAAAAGGCAACGGGTGCATTAACAAGCTTTTTCAATAGGTTATTGTGCACCTGAATTGCTGCACATAAGCCGCCATATGCAAATGAGAATGCCCTCACTAGAGTAAGAAAGGAGTTTGCCAAAGAAAAGATACAGAGGATAGCCTGTGGTGTCAAAAAAAGTCGTTAGGTACCTCTTTTTCAAGTTAGATAATTATTCATCTGAAATCCCCATATAGAATACAGATTTTACATAATTAGTAGGGAAAAGGGTGTTCTACGGCAGTTGCATTGTAAACTGGTAAAACATAAATGGATAGACTGAACAGAACATCACAACATGCAGCCATTACAATTGGCATTCCGAAGCATGATATTTTTATGGGAAATTTACAGAAACAGCCAATCTGACAAAGAGATTTCCTTTATAGCCATATTCTGACCCGCTTTCACTTTATAGCCAATCCTTATGCAGAAAGCTTACACATATGCGTAAGGATCGGTTTCGGGGAAGAAAGAGGATCCTTCTACCAAAAGTGGATTTTCTGCATAAGTGGATTTTCTGCGAAAGGATCCTCTTTTTTTTTTGCCGAGAACCAATACTTACGCATATGCGTAAGGATTGGCTACAAAGTGAAATGAGGTCTAAAAATGGCTATAAAGTGATTGGGTAGATTTTCTAGAACTTTTTCCTTCTCATAACCCATAGTTCACTATATCTACTTAAAGTTTGTTTGAGAACAAAATCCCAATATCAGCAACTAAAATGATTACCAGATAGAATGATGTCGGATGCTCTTCTAATGCTGTTGTATCAACCCAATAAGACAGCCACAGATCATTTCCATTTCGCGAAGCTTGCATTAGAAGTGCTGATAGGCAAGTTATGACTGTAATATACCAACCACAGAATGCAGCATAATTCCTACACAACATGAGGAAGTAACTGCCCAGTTGGATATTGCAACAAAAGAAGCAAGTAACTGATTGATCAGTCTAATAAGTTCATACATTCAGGATAGAGTGATTGGCTTTTTGAACCATCGTGCTAGGCTTTTCATTCTAAACTCAGCATCGTTCTTGTGAAAATGCCACATACCATTTTGCATTTATAAGAATGAGCAATGTTGGATAAATTAGAGAAAAGTAAATACAAAAACAAACGTTGTACTTGGCATTTCTATCCAAAATCACTCATTCATGCAAAAAGTTGTGTTTTCTGTTTGCATTTTCACAAGAAGAATAGTTCGAAAAGTCACTCATCCTTGCCTACAAAAAATCACCCCTGGAACATGGACTCACATGTACACAGTTGTTTCAACTCTGCCTTCTTTCCTCTCTTCAACCCTGATAATGTTGTCAGTGGCATCCATGATATCTATACCTTCACTCTCTACCACAACACTCTCTTGGACTCCCATACAAGTATCTCGACTTTCTATTTGTGCTTCAGTCTCAGAAGGGGAATTAAGTTCTTCCTGTCTAACAAATGATGCGTATGGAGAACTGGAACAGTCCGTTGGACTTCCCACCCATTTCACTTGTCCTTTGTCCATTATAACAACCATATCTGCAGCAGATATTGCCTATAAAGTGTAAAAGGTTGTTAGCATATGACACCCATGTGAATTTTAGCAGTATCTCATTTGTTTTTGAAGGGTGTCCTAAGCTATGCCTAGATTAATCATGGCAAATTGTGACTGCAATAAATCAGGCCTGATAAACTCAATGGCCACAATTGTTGTGTACGCCTGGAATCGAACCCTGGGCAGATGGGATATTCCACCACATCCCCCAGGGCCTCAACCACTATGCCACAACCCTTGTGGTTAGTATTCTCATTTATTTCCAGGAACATACTGTGAGAATATGTCAAGTCCCATTAGATTACTCTCCAAAAGAGGGAGAGAAGGGATGTTCCAACATATATCGAGGAGAAATGATCAAATTCTAGCCATTGTGAGACTCCAACACATGCGGTCATTACCTGAATGTTATGGGTGCAAAGAATGCATGTTTTCTGATCCATAAGAGGGCTAAGGATAGCATTTGATAAAATCCAACAAGCCACTTGGGCATCAACTGCACTAAGGACATCATCCAGCATGACTAAGTCAGATCCATGATAAACAGCCCTGTGCATGTCCCCCAAAATATAAGAATTCTCGTAAAGAACAAATAACTACTTTCACATTATCATCAAATGCTATGAAATGAGAATCAAGTGATATAATGACACCTGGCAAGAGCTAGACGAGCTCTCTGTCCACCTGACAGGTTTACGCCTTTCTCTCCAATATAAGCCATATCACCTCCAACCATAAGCGAAACATCTGTATTAAGGGCACATGCCTCTAGAACAGCAGAGTATCTGAACAAGGAAAATAGATCCAAGAGTTGGAAACAAATACAGGTTTTCACAGATTTTTTGGTCTCCTATTTATCAAACTGAATTATGACAGTGGCTTAATCCTACTTTAAATGATGAAAAGTGGAGAGAGAAATTGACTGAAATAGCCAATCTCATAAACCAAATTGACTTTTTAGCCACTTTTCAGAGCTCTTCAAAATAGGAAGCATAAAGACTATATTCTGGAAGAAAGAAAAAGAAAAAAAATCCTTATACACGCAAAAATTTGAATCTTATACCAAAATCTGAATCTTTACTCAATTTTTTTTATTTCTTTTGATCTGAAAATCGAGTTTCCGCAAATGCACAAGACATTTGCGTAAACTCCGGGTAAAATGGGAATTCAATCGAAAAAGTGGCTAAAAATTGAAGTTGGTTGGAAAATTCAGCTATTTTGATCAATTTCCCTGAGTGGGGATACCTGAAGAACTGCCAAGGGATGAAACTATTCAATCAATAATATCTTTAAAATGTTTATTCAAGTTTAGTATAAGAGAGCAATACCTTATCGGATCATAGTCCCTTCCAAATATGATATTATCGCGAATAGTGCCAGAGAGAATCCACGGAATCTACAACTCCAAAGAAGACTGGTTTAAATTCGAAAATTGTGATTCAAAGAAAGTAGATTTTGACAGCAACATAGCTTGTCGTGTTCAACCTGTGGAACATAGGCAACAGACCCACTTGAATATATAGATCCCTCGATAAGCTTCATTTCTCCGAGGATAGAGTTCAACAAGGATGATTTACCTGAACCAACCTGCAAACAAGTATTTCATTGTGTAATTGTGATGACTAGAATAGAATCTTACAGTGAACACCTTTGAGCTTTCATATAAAATGGGATTTGTCCTATCATGGTTTGTTTCTTAATCTATTCCTTAAACGGCAACTAGAACCTCCTCCATACAGATAACAAACATGCAAAAAGCATCTACGAGCTTTCATATTTCTGCGATTAGAGCTCAAGCGGGATTCATTTTATTGGGTTTTTTTAGTAATCTATTTCTTGCGAACCAACTGAAACCTCCTCCATATGTGGGCTACAATACAGCCGGAAAGTAGTGGCCCCCAGGATGAAGTTCTAAGCCGCATACTGATCTCGGATGATAACAACAGGCATGTAATACTTAAATAACCATTCAACCAGTGCCTCTTGTCTGTAAAAAATTTGATGCAGAAAGCATAACATTATTTGGTCTCTAGAATTTGACAGGGTCTAGCCAGAGTCAACAAAGAAGGTGGCAATTTAAGGCAGCTTAAACAAAGACTATGCTTTACAAGTAAAGCATACTGAAAAGGGTTTAAATAAGTAGAAGCTGTTCACAGATGTATAGCTGAACACCAGGCTGCAATCCTTGCTCAAACAAGCTAGTGTGGCTACAAGCCAGGGAGTATGGTACAAAGTCTAACCAGGTGCTGATAGATAGTGGTAAGTTAAATGGCTACGACTAAACATAGTGCTGGAACTCTAAGCATGGGTCTGACCTCTCCAATTACTGCAACCAGAGAACCCTTTGGAATGGCAAGATTGACATGATCCAGAATCAGCTCCTTCACTTCTTGAGCGCTGCTTGACCATGCACAACAGGCATCTTTCATGACAATATCAACTTCTTCAGCTCTAAAGTTAAAATGTTTGCTGGAGCAAGATGATAAAGAACTGTTTGCCTGCCCACGAAGAGGTTCATTCTCAAAACATGAGAGGAACATGCTCAGTCGCCTGGTTGATATGACTGCCTGTGAAGAAATTTTAATAGAAAAAAGAAGTTCTGTTAATTGATAAGCTTTATCTTGAAGCTGTTAATCAACAAGAGGGCATAGATATAGCTCACATCGATCAACCCATTAATGACCCATGGGAATGAGTTTAATGGGGAAATCAAATTGTTAAATAGAGCAAGACAAGTAAAGACCTGCAAAAGCAGAGGGTTAAATTAACAAGAAAACGTAGTGTTAATAAGAAAAACACAAGCAATTTTATGTACTCAAAATGGTGTTTATTATACCGTTGCTGCATCTAGTTGATTTCCCATCATTACATAGAGTCCAAATGTGAACAGAGAAAAAAGAGTTGGTGTTGTTGCCCAAAAGAATACACACCATGCATCCAAGTACTTCCTTGTCTATAAAAGGAGGTCAGGCTGTAAGATTGACTGCATCGGAATGTCAGAAATATATGGTTTTTGCAGAAAGTAATTCTTACTGCTAAATATTTGACTTCTAAGGATCTTGTTTTCATCAACCAACTAGAAAAAAGAAGCTCCCAACCATACATTTTCAATGTGCGAATATATGTCAATAGCTCTCCAGTCCTTCTGACCCTGCAAAAGTGTTACAGTTAATAATAAAGACTTATCATCGAAAATAAAACTCTTATCACTGAAACATCTAAACAGCATAGCTTGAATGGTTCTCTTAAATAGACAACTACTATTTGCAATAGAAGATAATTTTTTTTGCTAAAGCCTAAGCAGACTTTGGCAAAGATGCACACACCTTTCATCCTTTTGCTCCATCATGTTTTTGGTGGCACTGGCAATCAACTCAGCAATCCATTTATTTACTGTACATATTATGATTAGAGCTTTATCAATAATGGATTACAGAGATGTCGTCCATCAAAGAAGTGTGTAAGACAGGGATAAGGGAAACCATCATTTTGATAGCAATTGCAGCTGAAAAGAGTATGCCCTCATGAGCAAGTCCTGGTACTAGCTTATTGCTCCAATTTTTATGGAGTCAACTATCTTAAGCATTATATAACAACGTATTGTTGATAACCTTAATTTTAAACAAATACCTTACCTTTTCCACTGAACATATTCAGATGACAGTAACTGTGAGTTCTGTCTATTGGCACATCAGTGACAACAGAAATCTGCACCTATCGATGCTTCTAATTGAGAAACATATTTCAAATAAAGCATCGATAGGTGCACATTTCTTGCTCCAGAGAAATCAGGTTCAATTACGACATGTGAAAACCAAATTTACATGCATAAAATTTAAGTTAACAACCCATACAGAGGTATGCTCATTGTATTCATGTAAAGAAACGAGTACAACGCACTACCTGGTATCAACAAAATAGTTATAGTGATTCCAGCAACAAAAGCGAACTGAACTTGTGTATAGAGCAGATACAGGGCAATTCCAATTTGTAAAGGCAAGCTGAAAGGTTCAAAAAACATTTTGCATTATTATCAATGCAAGCCATAGAGCTCAGTATGTTACATGATGGCCTTATTATTCTGATAGCATCGAATACCAACACATAATCAGTACCACCAGCATCAAGTTACAACAAAGATGCCAAATTACCAAAAAATGCTCTGGAGAGCCGTTGCATAATACAGACATGATAAATTCATTCCCTTTATTTTCATATAATCTAATTATCTTAATAATATGTCGATCTATGGACTTCTTTCACAAATATGAACAATTAACATCCATGTCCACTTTAGGACTGCATTTTGGATCAATATAGGAATGTGGAACAATTTATTGATAAAATGCATCCACAAAAAAAGAAAATATACAAGATGTACTATAGTTGAAGATATGTGAAAGAAATAGATAAATACCTCCACATGTCATGAAAACTGTTGCACATATTGACAGTTCGATCAACATCCACAGACATGAAGGTTTGAATTTCCCCCTCCGAAAATTTAGATCTTTCTGCCAGGCCAACATGGAGGCACTGAAAAATGCATGATGGGAGACTTGACAGTTAGTAAGAAAATCTCCCTTAAAACGTCACTTCATCAACACAAGTGAATCAGGCATTGACAGATTGATTTTTAAAATTCTGTGCGTGGGAGCGCATATGATAATTTATCTCTAATGGAAACAAGTCTTTTGTGAAAGCCAACTTCCCTGTCTTTGCATTATGGAATTTAGAGATCTGCCGCTCTAGAGTAAAAAAATGTGGATAGTGAAAGGGATAGATTCCATTTTAACATCCACTAAGGTAAGAAAAAAGACCAAGAAACAGATAAGAATGATCTACCTTTCGAAATATAACAGTCATAAGACTAGAACGTAGCTTTAACTTTAATTTGGAGAGACGAAATGTATATTGTGTATCAAGAAAAGATCTGCACCATCAGAATAGAGCTTGCATTATAAAAATGAGAGGTTAATATGCAAAACTATGTCATCAAGAATCCTTCACAGCTTCCACTATTAAGAACAAAAAGTATACAAATGAACAAATACTAATTAAATATCAGTTCCTGTTGGTGAGCATCTGAATGATTTTGGTAATTTAGAAGCTATATGCACACCTGTTTGAAACAAAACGCACCATAACTCAAGCAAGAAAACTTCACATTTTATGATGTAATTATGACAAGAGACACAATTGTATTTTACCCAACAATTGTATGACATCTTGTAGTTTTTTTAGTTTTTGTCACTAGTTAGCTGGTAGTTGAACCCAAAAAAGAAACAGGATTGTACTTTGCCACCTTGTTACTTGAATATTACCAAAATTTTATCCAGTTTCAGCTAATGAATTATTTTATTCTGCGGTGTTTGTTCACAGACTTTGTGTTCTTCTAAGTGAAGCCGCTGAACCAGATTGATAGCATGGTCTCTAGTTGTTGCAGGCACCAAAATCTCAGAGCTACAGATGGAGCCTGAGAATTCAATCTATAATACTTAAACATCATACTAAAAAGAGAACAGTGAACATCCATTTATTTTATTCGTGATAGCATGAGAATAAAGTGTTATCTAAGGAGGTGTTTGGTTAGAAGTATTAACCAGTAATTAATGGGAATGAAAATAAAAGGAAGTGTTTGGTTTTACATAATATAATCGGTCAATCCCCCCACAAGCCCAAATTTTCATTCCAAGTTAAATTGCGGTTTCCCATTATCATTCTATGCCATTTTCATTTTTCATTCCTTTGCCTGAACCAAACAGCCCCTAAATGTCCTATCAAATGCACTGGAGTAGGAACAAGATAGAAATTTTGAATTTATGACTTCTGAGTTCATAGAAATAGATCATGGTGAAAAGACTCCAGAATTTTTTCTAGTGACTTGTACCTCCATAAGAAATATCATGAAGAGGGATAATCATTTATACTAAAATAACCACAATAAAAGCATAAGACTTACTTCAAGATGGAAGTGAGGCCTAGAGAAATGGCGAGGAGATAACCATCAAAATGCACAGATCCTGTTTATAGAAAAATATGTTTCTTTAATGGGGGCAGCAATTTAGACCAGTTCACATAGTGTTCATTTCAAGTTAAAAGCTAAAAACTCCATTAGAACGAAAATGCAATTTCCATTCGTAAGAGTGTGAAGGAATCATAAGACTCCTACATCTTCATGTATAACTAATATATAAATAAGATCACTAGATCAACATAAAAGATGCATCTTGGTGTGAAGGAAACAACAACATGAAGCTTTTTAACATCTTACAACGGATTTGTATTTTATTTGGAATAGTTCCCTCCACTTAACTAATACCTTGTACTTCTAAAGGTCTAAGCAAATAAATAACATGAAACATTTCTTGCAGCCTCATGGTTTCACATGACACATCATAGGGTCTTTGGCACTAAGATGCAAGGAAGTATTCAACACAAAATGGAGTATTTGATGCTTAAAGTTGACAAGGATCTCATACACATTAAACATCGAACACAAATTTCTTGTGATATATCACAAGGACCTTGTTCAATATATACTCAGTTTTGTCCAAACATATAATTCCATAAATCCATGTAAATGATATACTTTTAATTGTTGTAGTCTGGATCATTGCTTGATTCAGCATTACCTTCTATTTGGAGATTTTCACTCTTCAGAACTCTAGCATTCTTCTACTTTTAGCATTCTATTAAGCTCGTGATAACAGAAAGATCTAAAAAATTCAACCTTGGTTACATATCTCATTTTACTATGTTAGGTTGCAGACAGGAGAAGTATAATCATCGGTAGTAAATGCAAACCATGAATCATGCCTGATGTATTCAGAGTTCAGACTTGTCGACCCCTCTCAACCAAATGAGCCCAGTATATCCCACCCGGAGTTCGGTTTTACAGGGGAATACGCAGACCTGACCTCTACCCAAAAAAGTAGAGTGGTTGTTTCTGTGAAGACCCCAACTTATGCAAAGTGTAGGGAAAAAAAAGAACATATGATAAAGAAGAACTATTAAAAAAAGGTAGTGCTAAAAAAAGGAGAACATTATAATATCAATCATTATATTTCTTATTGGAAGCATGAACTATGCATTACCCTTCTACAAACCAATAAGAACAAATATAGAAATTGACCTTCTTGAAGATACTTAATCAGCCTATTAAGAAGCAAGGGTCCAGCAAAACCAAGGCAGTCATTAAGTACCTGAAATTTATGGAGTATGAGACTTATAAGAAAAATAACATTCAAGTCTACTACTTCACTGATATCAAGTTTTCTTCTTAGCATTATAATCAGTCATGGATTCAGGACTTCTAATCATGGTATGCACCATCTTAACAGAAAAAATTCAGGGATGCATTACAAGAACAAATTTTATTTTTATTATTTTTATGCTGCAAAACACTACAAATACTTTTTTTCAGGGTATGCAAGTGCATACCTAGTGGACCACATAGATCCACCTCTGCATATGCAATAGATTTGCTATCTATAGTGTTCCCAGTTTCCATATATAACATACATGTCCTCTGAACAGTTAAGACACCAAGAAAGAGTGGAGATACTGTCTAATTTCAAATTAGAAAGAGTAACATGTAAGATGTGGTGAACAGTTCAAACAGCGCAGTCATGCATCCAGATGCATCGCGTAGCAAGTGCAGTTTCGTTTAGGGACATCACAGATGATAAATGAAGGCATCGAGGGCAACCCAGCTTGATCAAAAGTTCAAAAAAGTAAATCAGAATCGTTCAAGGCATAAGAAGCTTAAATATATATATATATATATATATATATATATATATATATATATATATATAGTTGGGTTCACGTGAGACCAGCCTGTTTTCGTGAGACCCGTGAGACCACATTTTTACACGTAACCTTCACAGCAAAAACACTGTGAAGGTTTAAAAAAAGTCGAAACTTCACAGCAAAAACACTGTGAAGGTTTTAAAAA